GAATTTCAACAACTGTCTATATTTATTACTAATAGAATATATAATAAATAATCAAACTCGAGATAGTCACGAGAAGTTTGAGTTGTTGTACTATAAATGCAAGCTTTAATTACATTAAGGATACTACGGATGAAAATAAATTTCAAAAAAACATTTTTTGTTATTTATTGATCTTTTGCATAAAGTGAAGTTACCACGTCAATTCCGCGATATCGCAGGTTTTTTTTTTTTACTTTAATCAATACTATTCAATCTGGTTGCTAATTCAGTGATTTATGAATTTTTTTAAATATAAGGCCGTAAAAGAGACGGCGGAGTTCTCATCGGACCACGATGAGTATGGGTAGGTGAAAGAGAATAGACATTCAAGTATTGCGACAGTTTAAGTGGCAAAAGCACCTTACACCAAACTTGGGGATTCTAGAATCCAATCCTGATTGGAAGAAAAAATTCTTTTTTTCCAAAAAAACGTGCTAATACAAAACTGTTTGGATGAGGTAGGGGGGGGGGAATTAACGAAAAAGTTTCAAATCGAACGGAGGACTATGTCATCTATAAAATAAGGTCTTTTTTTTTGTTTCGATGAATTGTGTGAGGAAATACTCTTCCGTATTTTTCTTTATTTGAGAAAGTAGCTAATTTTTGTAATGTTCTCTATTGATAGAAATTTTTTAAACATAATTCTTAAAAAAAAATCGAGCCACGTCTTATAAAATTTATTTTCTACTAGTTACTTCCTCAAGTTGAGTCAAAATTGAAAATTATTTTTAAATAATTCAAATAGTTATTTTGTAGATGGCAATTTACGATAAATTTTTTGTGCAATCAATTTTGACTGAAGCATATAAAGAGCCATAGCAACCTTTGACAGGTCGTACAACATGTAGACGGAAGAACGGCAACGTCAACTGCTTTTCAACAGAACCGACTTTTTTTAGCTACTTTTTATTCATAAATGACACGTGTTCTGTGCATACAGTAGAGCTCCAATAATTTCGAGCTTATGAGTTTGTCTCTTCAAGGAACTCGAAATTATTGTCTTCCCCCTCCATCACTTCATAGAAAACGGCAGAACATAAATGTCTCTTTTCAGTTTGTGTTCTGAGAGAGGGGATAAGTGGAAGTACAGAGTGTATCATTTTCAACTTAAAATTTACACACATAAGTGAATATTGAAAAATGTTAGGATTAATAAAATAAATAATATTATTTCTCTACATTTTTATGATTCATAATTACATATATTTTTAATTTCATAAAAATATGAAAACAAAAACACTTATATTATTTTAAATAGTTAAACACATAATGAATGTATATATTTTTTAAGTAAAATAACTATTATGACTAACATTGCTCAGGATCAGATTTGATTTCTTTGGATATGGTATCTAATACTTCAATACTTTTTGAACAACGATTTTCTAAATAATAATTTCGTAAATAGTTGATACATAACATAGCTTCATTTTTTTCAGTCATATGATTTACGTTATGATTATTGTTTTCATTTATACCATCCATTGTGTTCTCTGTATCATCTTCTACATTTTCATTTCGAACACTAACATCAGCTTCAGTCTCATAATCGTAATCACAATTATTATCACAATCATTATCATTTTTATCATTATTGTCATATACATCCGTTTTATCACAGGTCTCTTTTCTTACAATTTGTACAATCTGTTGCTCTGTTAAACATTTATCTTGAGTTAAGTAACAAGGATTTAGCCAATCTTCAAAAGCTGAGAAATTTTGTGAAGCATGACATGGTAGACTTTTAAAGAAAGTTCAAAATATTTTTAGTTAGTTAATAATTTTCTCTCGTTGATGTCAGTAATTTGCTTCTTACTCTACCCTGTCTTGCCAGGGCGAAACCTTAAAAAAAAGATATCTAAATATTTGCTGTATTAATCTTATGACTTGAACAATTGTCTATAACGAACAAAGCTTTAAGAGGTAGGCCAGTTTCAATCAAAAAAGTTTTCACAATGGGAACAAAATTATCACGAAAGCAAGATTCGAATAACTGTTTATTCATCCAAGCACTTTGCTGATTTTGATGTACTACTGGCAATGAGGAAATTCCTTTAAGAGCTTTTGAACTTTTAGCTTTTCCAATAACCACAAGTGGTAATTTTAATGTCCAAGAGGCATTGCTACATGCCATAACGGTTATTCTCTCCTTATAACCTTTAAGACCTGATGGACAATTTTCTGACTTTGCAGAAAGAGTAGTTTTTGGTAGAAGTTTATAATTTACTCCACTTTCATCACAGTTAAAAACTTGATGTGCAATTAATTTTTTTTTACGAACATATTTAATAAATGATAATTGAAAAGAATCTACTGCTTCTGTGTTGGCTGATAGTTTTTCACCACTAATTGCAACACTACGAATTCCATAACGATTTTTGAAATTACGAAGCCAACCACGGCTAGCAACGAAATTATTTGATTCCTTGAGTTGAGATTCGAATCTCGTAGCTTGAGCCTGAAGCATAGGTCCAGTTAGAGGAATGCTTTGAGCTCTCATATTTTTTAACCATCACCACATGGCGGTATCAACCTTTACATTATCACTTATACGCAAACGTTCCTTTTTTCCTGTAGAGAAATAGGTACCTTTTCACTCCATTTAATTATTTCATCTTGGTTTTTTAGCCAAGATCTCACTGTCGTGGGGTGAACCTTGAGATTTTGTGCAATTTCATCCACACTCATTCCTTCCTTAACCTCATTTATTGCATTCAGCTTTATAAATAAAGATACAGAATCATTTCTTTTTTTCGAAATCGTCCCACTTGACATTGTTCTCACCAATTTTACTCTATTAATACTAATTATATAAAGTATATAAATATTTTATATATTAGTATATATTAAATTAATCTAAATGAATAATCTTATAAGCTATTATGAATTTAACGTATAATACCGTTGCTTTAACATTCTTTCTCTTTTCGCGCATCACAAAGATACGCGAGAAGAGAAATATAAGAGCGTGAGGGTCGACTTAGCTCCGCCCAGGTAGGAGAAGTTGAAATTAACGTGCTCGAAATTATTGGAGCTTCACTGTATTATGTGTATTTGAGAGTCAAAATTATGTGATGTTTTATATGTTTCTTGCGAAAGTTGTGATAAAGATAATTTTTTTCCTATTAAATTTCTACGTAAGATTTTTTAGTTGTTGTTTAATAAGTAATCTCATGATCATTCTGCAGTTAATTATTATATAATCATGATGGTAATCATATGATTATTCATTTTATCCAACTGTTTTCGTAACTGTATTTTAAGAATAGATGTCTCAAGGACTACCTGTACAATTAATGAGCATAGCTTCATTATCTGCGAAAAATTGAGTTCGTTTCTGGAACCAATTTAGATTTAGGCAATCTGAAAACAATTAATACAAGAATACCTATGTTACGAGCTTAACTACATCGAATTAGGGACAGAATGGGTTGTTACTTTATTTTAAACTGATTTTGTTTATGTTGGTAAAAATACATTCATAAAAATATATTGAAGGGTACAAGAGAAGAATAACTACAACTTTATTTCTGCGTCCAAGAAAGGAACTCCGAAGTAGTACTGATTTATCAAACTTTAACTGGAAGAAATTGTTCTATCTGAGGGCAAGAAGCTCACTGAAAGAAACAATATTAAATAAAAGCCACAGACACTGTAAAATAAATTCAGGAACAAGAAATGTTGTCATAGATTTAGAAAATATTAACGTTTTGATTATATTGACTGCATTCGTAGATGAAGATAGTGAAATATATTTTCTACAACCATCCCGAGGCGAAGTCGAAAATAAAATATTTTCTTTAAAACGCTTAAAAAAAGTGTATTCAAAATTTGAGGAATACACATTTTTTTTACATGCCTTTACGGGTTACGATACGACATTAGCATTCTTTAACAAAGGTACAATTAAGTCTGCCAAAAATGTCGAGTAACATTATGATTTTCATAAATTAGCAAAATATTTGGAGAATCAAACAAAGACTCTAATAATATATTTCAAGCAAACGTAGCATATATTTTGGATTTATATGGAGCTTCAGTAAAAAATAAAGGTTTGAACACTTTAAGAATCAATTTCTTTATGAAAGAAGCAGCCAAAAAATCAGTGTTTTACAATCATCATTACCTACAGCTGATGCAGCGTTTGAACATCTAAAAAGACCATATTTACAAATTCAGATGGGTTTAGCAAATGTAGATATCGAAAACGTAAACATTGAAAATTAGGACTAAAATTATTTTGATAACATGCTTATTCGAAAAATGAAAATTATCAACTCCAAATGATTTGTTTAAAATAGTATTTCAAAGCTGCAAAAAGAATTGTGAAGCGGCTTGTGGATGTCGAAAGCGTAGCTGATACTGCAGTGTAGTATGCCTACATTGCAGCGGAAAGAATTGTTATAGTACTTTACTCATCATTGAAGTGACTGAAGTCAAAGTAAATACTTAACACAGAAAAAAGTGGAAATTGTTTAAATGAACTAATAATCTATTGATAAAGTTTTCTCTTCATTCACTTCTTTTTTCTGATTACTGGATTTATATAAAAATATCTAATGACAATTTTAGTATACAAAAACGTTCTACAGTCTAATATTATGAGGGTTATACCATTTGAATTATACCAAAACTATAATTCTTTTCTCTAAATCGAGATCACAATTTTTCAGTGGGTAAACTTTTTTTTATGGATTATGAGCTGAACGTTTTATTTTAAATTATTGAATTTCATTTGATGTAACTAAGATCTGAGGTGTGCATAATTTTAACGTCCAAGGCGTTCCACTATTATGAATATTTGATTTTAGTACAGTGATGTACATTATGTCTGTGTTATTTCATACAAAAAAATATAAGATAAACGCACGTATAACATTAAACGAATTGAAAAGCATTCATGTCCATTACTGGACATAATAATTATTGTAATCATTGAATTAATGTTTATTATTGTTTAGCAGGTGAACGCATGAACGATATTCTCACAAAATTTCATCATCGTCGAGCTGCAGGTATCCTTGCGCAACCACGAGTTGGTAGAACAGTAGATATGCCTTTTCCTCACGTGGATGGTGCCAGTGGTTTAGTCCATTATCCTCGTGTTGGTCGATTTGATCCATTGTTGCTACCTACCACATTAAATGATCGGAAACAATTCACAAATCTACAGAATAACGCAGCAAATGTTTTCAATTTTGAAGCAGCGATCGTTCTAACAATTCAAAGTAAGTTATTGAGAAAATTAGAATCTTTTTTTTATGTCTACGATAACATTTTAACAAGTTCTTGATATCATTTCATGAGTAAAGAACAGAAAAAATATAGTTCCGATTAGAGATCACATGTATTTTTACCAATTTTCGAACATATATACACGACTCCACAATTAATCGAGAACGATTCTCAGTATAAAATGTATTTTGTTGAGATGGGCAAGAATTAGGGTGACCCTCCAAGAACTTGACCTATTTCGGCACTTCTTAGTGACGCTACTCGTCAGGCGCCCTAATTGAAGGGGTCTTTGCATTCGTTACAAAAGACAGTCGATCGAGAATCGAATACTCAAGTACAGCAATTTGCCGCATGAAGTCAGAAATTATTATCACTCTCATGAGTTGCCTTATTCTTCAAGGCGAGTCGTCTGAAAAGAAAAAGGTTGCGATATGTCTTAAGTGTACCTATCAAATACACTGTCATAGGACTAACTGACATCAGTGACGGACAACAAGGCATTGCTAGTGCCAAGGGTTCGTAAACCGCAGAGGATCCTGGACAAGGATGAAAATAGAAAACACCGTCAGCCATGGGGGAGATTGAAGACGCGAAAACATCGCACTAAGCCTGAGCTAAAATTGTATTGAATTGTCGGTCCCCTTTCAGATTATAATGCATGTGTGAATGAGTGCTTATGACAATTCATTGCGTGTTAAGGATTTAAATTATGAGATTGATTACAAATTAATTATAAATTACTATAAAATCTTAAAGGTTTGAGAAGTTAAAGGCGTCAATGTGTATCAAAGTACATATATTGCTATTAGCGGCTGTTGAATACCAACAATTTTTTGTACGATATTGAACGTCTAAAATAGTTCCAAGATTGAACGATAGATATTCTTTTTTACACTCCACACAGAATGCGCTCTTAATTTACCAAATATAGATAATGCGGGACCGTTTAATAAAGAAGAACTTGAAGAACATGTTAGAACTCTTAAGAATTAAAAAGCCTTAGGGCTAGATTACTAGAAGTGGAAAACATCAAGCGCGCGATTGCGTACCTCCCGGAACAATTTCCAGCACTTTTCAACGAATTCTAGTCTTAAGGCTTGTCTTTCCTCGAGCTAGGAAGGAGAGAAAAATTCGTATGAAATATCTTCGACCACTACGAAATTGCGCCCAAAACATTTACAAAGTAATGTAAGATGACTTTACAAACCATACAGTTAGCCAAAATATTCGGTTACAAAGGTGACTCTCAGGGATTCGTGCTCAGTCCACTTTTCTGGAATATAATGTTTGACGACATTCTACCAATCTGAACACGGAAGGCGATATGCAGCGTACGCAGACGATATAATTGTCATAATAGATCGTAATCTCAGGAGGGTTCTAAAAAGCAAAGGACGGGTAGTTGTCAAAACGATATTGACATGGTACAAGAATGTCAAATTGGAACCTTTAAAACCGAAGACAGAGGCAGTTTTTATAGAGCGTGAAATAAAGCTTAGAAAAAAGCGAAATTACAGGGACAAAACAAACTCAACTATCGATAATACACATCACATATCAAGATGAAGAAAGACGGCCACGAATGTAAACCACTGAAAATAACCATAGAAGGAAAAAAAATCAAATTCCCAGAGGTAGTTAAGTACCTGGGGGTCTGGTTCAGCACAGACCCTAATATATCATCTCATATTTATAAACCACTGGTGCAAGCAGAAATGCTATTCTGTAAATGAGACACCTCTCGTGAATGCGTTGGGGACTCAATTACCACACGTGTCTCACTATATACTGTATAGAAGATGCTTCCTACTGGTGGTCGTTCATGCGTCCCCATCATGAGGTGATTTATGCAAAAGATTGGGCTGACGCTTGCAGCCGCGCAGAGAGACATCTTAGGAGTTGTCGCGCATGCCCGTGCATCTACCTCAAGGGATAGTCTCTGTGTAGCCGTGGGCGTTCTGCGATTGGTAATCTTTATGCGTGATACACACTTTGTACTGATGCAGTGGTTACTTAAAATAATTTTAAAATCATTTTAAATGACAATACGGCATAAGGATCATCGACACCGATAATGAACCTCGAAACATACAATTTCTTCCCAAGTATAGCAAATAGATTCGATAATCTTCGACTGAAATCCAAGCCCGCACCTGGGGCTGCAAAATCGAAAACGACATGTAGCATCAGATGCTTCAGTCAATTGAGATTGGATTCGTAGAGATATGTTGTAGGGCCTTGGGCTCGATGCGCGTATCCTCGAACCTCTTTCAAGGTGCAGGAATTTTACATCCCAAGTAACGCCATCGCGAAAATTAGAACTATTCCTAGAGTCATGCCCTATGAGGCAAGGTACTCAAATGAAACGTCTTTTTCAACCGGCGCGGTGCGATCTTCGTCTCATTGCTCAATGCTTTTCTGTAGATCGAAAGAGATAAAATAACACTCGACGAACCTGTTAAAAAAAAGAAGATATATCATATTCTTCAAATAGCACACCTTGAAAATAGCCAACACCACAATAAAAAGTATACTTTTATGAAAAATCAAAACACTTTGTCTTGTTATCTTCTTTTTCATGTAAGATGGAGTAATTCAATAAATATACTACATAACAGCACTTATTAAAAATTCACTCAAATATCCCAAATTCAAAATGTGAAATAATGTCTGTTGATTGTTTAATGTTGCCAGTCGTCGAAGCAGTATCTTTTTTGAGTGTTTTAAATTTTCTGGTACTTCTCCATCATCCAAGTTTATTTGCAATGTTAGTTGTAATTATTGTTGTTCATAAATAATTTGAAAAAACTCAATTGATATTACTAACAAACTACAAAAAAAATAGATATTGTAAATCACGATAAATCATTTTTAGATAAAAGTATATTAATTACAGTAGCAAAGGAAAAACGTTTTTAGTGGAATAATAGAAAATGCAAAAATCAAAGCTTTTAAATTTGTCTCCAAGATGAATATATTTTATGCCAGCCAATGTTTATTAAAATTTCAATCAAACATTCGATCTATAATTTGTCGAGCATACTTGTTGGACTTTTTTATTAAACAATTGTTAGGAAACTATTCCATGATTCTTCGATTATGACAAGTTAAACTTGTTCAAAAAATATTATTTTCAACATTTTTCAAAGGCATGATCGATAGACAACAATAAACGTTTTTCTTAAATTTTTTTTCTGTGTTCGGTAACTTTAGTTTTATGAAAGAACTCATGCACAGTAAAAGAAAACTAAAATTTCTTATAATAATCTCGAGTCACATTATTGATTATAATTCTATCATTATCAAGTATAAATTTCTGTCGAAATTTATTTCTTATCCATAATAATAGTTACATTAAGACAAGTTAAACTAAGATGAGTTGATCGAAGTCGAAGTCATATAAATCTTTCCACTAGGAAAAAAAAATAAAGTTCGACCAAAGGTATAAGATGTATTGATCTTATCATGTATGATGGATTCTTGATTATATACAGTACCTCACTCGACTTAAACTCAATTGCTTTGTCGTGGTAGAAACATCATTCTCAACTTAACTCATTTTAACTTAACTCCCTGAAGTATCCCATTCTAAGATGGACTTTCAATCTACTTAATAAATTATTTTGGATACTGTTATGAATTGTAATTTTTAATAGTTCTTAATGATTCGTTGTAGAAGCTATTAGTAACAATGAATTTGAATTTTTTGTTATATAGGTTTTTTTTTACCGATTTGAGAAAACACTACTTTGATTTTTTTATATTTATTTGCTACTCTGACTGGATTTTAATTAGACAGATTTATTTACTAATAAAAACATATTAAATGGTTCGCTGTATTACAATGATAATAAAAATGTGTACTCAAATTGGTTATCTGTAACGTACGAACAATTTCTTGGAATTAATCATGCTTCTACACGGCTTTTCTATTGTAATCAAATATTGACAATACTTTTATTCAAAAATTATTCCAAAATTTCATTACATTATCAGGAGACACAAATTGATTGTTTTGAAATTTTACTTACATTCTTAGACGATGGAATTAACGCGAATGACATCGATATTTAGGAGAAATATATCTCCTACGTTTCAGTGTACATTCTGATTTTAATAATATAATCCTAAATGTAATATTGCTGAATTACTTTTGGAGGAAATTAATCATCTCTCGACTCGTAAAAACGTAACTAGAACTATTTCTCTGTAATTTCGAAATACAAACAATTCGTTTCAAACAAGATTAATTCTAGAGACTATCTATCGTTTGCATATAATCTTTTTACGGTGATATTCTTTTGAAGGATTCCTTTACATAATTTTTTACAATTATAACTAAAAATATTTGTGTTAATCAATAATTTAATAGCAACCAATCATTGGTCTAATTTTACAAATAAAACAAATGATAATTGATTGATATTCTTTTTCATTTTTGCGCTGTTTTTTCATATTTTTACATATGTTCATCCACAAGTATGATACACTTTTAATTATACAAAGATGATTTACTTATTCCCAGGACTTTATCCGCGTCGATACGATGTGACGGTGTAAACAGTCATAAACTAAAGGAATTAATTTACGAAAATTTGAGACAATGCTTTTTTATCAGCTAATTATAAAAATTTCTTATTAATTGTAAATGATCAATGTGAGATCATCAAATTTTATAATTATAGATTGACTAGCTGTTACCCAGAAGAACAGATTCTATTCTGGATTATCCTTGTCCAACATTTATCGAAGCTTTTCAGGGCATTAACACTTTTCTTGAATAGTATAAAAAAAAGGGTGAAAACCCTGAATTGTATTCAATATGTTTTAAGACAGCTTATGAAGAATTGCAGAAATTTCTAATGCATAACAAATAATACCAAAGTTAATCTAATTAATAAGTTTGTACAAGTTATTGTTTGATAATCATCGTTGCAAATTATTAAAAAGTTAATAAATTTATAGTTGTTATTGTTGATAGAGTCGACAGTATTATTGTTAGAATGCTAAACGATGTGGTATTATAAAATTAGTTTCATTTAACTTTAATCTTAATGTTTATAACTTTTAAGGTTTAATTTAAAATTCATAATTACCAGATTACTACAATGCACAGTTTTGATGGTTCTATGAACGCCATCAATACTTTCAATCTTACAATCAGTCTAATTGTATCAGTACTGAGTTTTGTTGATAAGTTCGAGATACGATTATATAATTACGTTACATAACAATAGATTAATCAAAAATTTTTGAATTGTTAGATTCGATTTCTGCTCTTTTACAGCGATTTTTTGTTATAAATCAAGAAAATCTTTTTTATTAATGTAATGTAGTTAGTACCTCTGCTACATTGAAAATGAGCAATTAGGTGTTAAAATTTTTTTACAAAAAATCAGTCATTTATTTCGTTGCCTGTGACCGTGATTCGTAATAAATTCGTCCACTACCAGGGTCCACAGCAGAAGGGATAGGACACCTCCCTGCGGACAGCCCCTGGCAACTGTAGCTCGAACTTCCGTACCTTTTAATTGGGCGACGGCCGTTCTATTGGCGAGTAGGTTCATGATCCAACGTGCAAGCGCAACGTCTGCTCCGGAGTTCTGAACTGCCTCGCCTATAGTTTCGGAGGGTGTGTTGTCAAACGCCCCTTCTACATCCCAAAAGACCCCAATTGCCGACCTGCCTGTCTACAGGGCTCTCTTCAGGCCTCCTTGCCACTTTGGTAGGCGTATTACGCTGAGCACAAGGTCCTGGTGCACAGTGCGCTCTCCTTAAGGTAACAGTCCGCAAGCCGCTCTAGCGTTTTTAGTACCAAGGAGGTTAGACTTATGAGCCTATAGATCTTTGCCTGGTCGTAGCGGTCCTTCTCCATTTTGAGTATGAATATCACCCTGACCGTCCGCCAAGCCTTAGGTATGTAGCTCATGGCAAGGCAAGATCGGTAAATATGTACCAGACTGCGCCATAGTCGCTCCCCGCCCATTTTCAGCAGAACCAGATAAACTCCGTCTGTGCCCGGACTTTCGTAGCGATCAAAGGTACCAACTACCCATTTTACCCGATCGTAGGTCACCACTCGCCTGGCAGATTCTCAGTCGGCCCTCACAAACCCACCTGGTCTATCGGCCTCGCTTGTGGTTTCTTGCACCGGAGTCGATCCCGGAAAGTGCGCTTTAATGAGAAGCTCGAATATGCCCTGATGATTATCGACCATCTCTCTGTCCGGAGATTCTAGGCCTCGAAGCGCCACGTTCCTGCCAGGAGTAAGCAGCTTGCGGATCCTGGCTACCTCAGGTAGGGCCTTCAGTCTCTCACAAAAGCTTCTCCAGGCTCGCCTCTTTACCGACTTGATCATAGACCTGAATTTCCTCCGTGAGGTTTTATATTCAGTCTATATCTGATCTGTCTTGAGCTTCTTTGCCCTGTTGAAGAGTCTCCTGGTTTCCCTGCGAGCTTTTTCAAGTGCCTTGTTCCACCATGAGACTCTCTTTCCCTCCTGCATCACCCTAGCTTGGCATGATTAAATTGGCTCAAGTCTCATAAATTCTGTTTTTCTCAAAAAATCTCTTCATTAGTACATTAAAAATAGTATCAAATTTTAAAAAATACAATCGGCTAATAGATTAGTAATCTATAACAGAAAAAAATCAATCCAACGATTAGTTCGGTGATTAACAAGATTAGAAAATTTTTTATTTTTTAAAAAAAAAGAAATTTAAACTGTTATGACTAAAAAAATTCCCAATTTCAGAATAATTTGAGATCTGTACGTGGCGCAACGTTTCACTGGCATGTAGTGTGGTTAGTTGTGGTAGTATATTAATAATTTACAAACATAATATGAGTATTCCAACAATACGAGTGTTGTATCAGTTATTTAGTTCTCATTCAAATCTAAAGAACCTAATTAATTTGTAGAGGTTATCGGTAGTAAAACTTTCCCTTCAATAACTATTGGAGAGCTACTTCATACATGGAATTGTGTTTAATTATACGGGACATTACTTTTTGAATTTAAAGTTTTGGCATAAATTTTACATTGAACAGCTTTTTATTCTCTTTTCATATAAAAAGAACAACAACACTTACAAAAATTTTTATTTTCAGACGAAAAATTTGCTGATAAGATCAACATCAAATTCAGGCAAAAATCGACCATCGTTGTATGTATCTATCGTAAACGCAAAGGCCACGTGTGTAAAATGGGCACATATCAACAATTTTGGAGATTATTCCTACATGCCTGGAATAACAATGATGAGATAATGTAACGAATCTTGTACAAAAAAATGGTAATGCAGGAAAATGTTGTTTTTTATGGTAATATATTTTTTGCAGATTTATTGAAGTCGAGACAAACATAAACGGAAGATGCATCTATAGGTCGTTAAGACCATACCGAAATATTTAAGAAAATAGATAATTATGAGTAAAAGTTTCCGATAAAGTTTAACTTATTTTTATGAATACATAATCGATTAATGCTTTTTTGTTATACTTTGAAAATTATTTTCGAATTTATGATCAGAAAATGAATGTCTCTTCATATCTGCTAAGTCCGAGATGTTATTCAAAAAAACCAATGATTTTTAGTTATTATCAATAATTACAAGCTATTCCAAACAGTTGTCTAATGAAAAGATAGTTTTAATCGTTGTCAATAAATAAATTGAAATTAAAAACAAAGGATATTCAAATGCTTGTCGCATCATAAATTTGAATTTTTATGCCTTTAACCTGCAGTGAGTAAAAAATCAATGTAAATTATCGACTCTTTAGTAGAAAGTAATTGTGATGGGTTCAATTTTGCGAATTCTAACTTTTAACGTATCACCATGTTTCAAGGTACTAAGAGCCAAATAGTTTTTTCATAGGAGGATTACCCGGTGTGAGTGGCCGTCTCTTGTTTCTCTAGCAATGATTTCACTAGTCAGTTTGCTTTTACAAAGCCATTTGGTGTTTTGAGGCATTGTTGAGATGTTGTTATTAAAACTATTGTCATGATCAAGAGTATTTTGTTCGTGTATATTAGTTGTATGTGGTTCAAAATGCCTTTACATTTAGATGTGTTAAAAACTTTAAAGTTTGATTCATGCCCCCGCCGTTCGCTAAGAGGGCAGCATCTTCCGGCCTTCCACACACTCAACGCCATTTGATAGTCGTGGAACAAAAACTCTGATCTCATGACGCCATTCCCGACAATCAAGTAAACGCAAACAGACGTTCCACTCATTCACTCTCGGTCTTCTTTCAGTTCATTGCGTTCGAAATTAATTAAACATTGTGACATAGTAGTTTTCATCCTTAGTAAGGCTTTCAATCTATTGTGGACTCGCTCACGCACTCACGTCAGCCTTAGTACAACATTACGTCACTCGACGGCTGTTGAAGATTGAACCACGTGTAGCAGCCAGACGAGTCGGTGTAGGTGGACACCGGTTGAGTGGAAATAAATGTTATTTTCAGCATTCCGGAACATCAAGCATTGTATGTGTACAACTACGCACATACACTCTCAATAATCTCACACACTTATACATTGACGGACACTTGAGATAAGACTGTAATAAATATCTGTGCTGTGTTAATCACCTAAGAGAAATTCTGTGTTAGTGTTTATTACTAATAAAGACAGACTTAATTTGTACCTAACTGTTATTATTTTTCCGGGAATCCTAGCTCTAGAATATTCTTGTTCTTAATTTTAAAAAATGTTAATCCGAAACGGAAGAAAACCTTACAAAAAAAGAAATCTATGTGTGACCATTATCATGATGGTGTTGACAAAATTATTGAGCGGTGCAAAATTTGTTATCTACAAATTAAAGCTACAAAAGCGGAGCAAAAATGAGTATAGCGTCCACTTCAGCTCTTAGTGTTCTTAGTAATCGTGGTAACATGTGCCGAACCGAATCCTGCATGAGGGCTACTATTTAAATAATCCCGAAAAACTCTTGAACTATAAATAATTTTGTTATAACGAATAAGGATCATAAAGCATAAAGTAGAATGAAATCTTTCGCCTCCAATTCATGAAAATCGGCTGATCGTTATAAAGAAGCATTTGTTAGTTTTACAACGTAGCGTAATTTAAATTCCAAACTTCTGTTAATGAGGAAGTTGTGCCTATTGTATTGACGATGATGATGAAAGTCGAATGTATCGGTGTTTTCTCCATTTTGGCCGAAGCCTTCGGAGAATAGTACGGAAGGAGTAAGGAAGAGTAAGGAAGGAGTAATCGAAATAAATGTAAATACGAATTTTGAATACATCGAAGTATACTTTTTGTTTAATTAATTGTCTTGCTTTGTGGAATCTTTTGAGAAGTTCTATTCATCCAATTTAATGAATTTATTATCATCTTTGAACGTTTTGTTATGTCCGACTTTATGTTTACAATTTTTCTTTTTTTTTCTCATATATATATATATATATATATATTTCGTTTTATTTTTGGTAAACCAAAATAAAACGCATACTTAATTTACCGATACGCTGACAAAATAATTTTTGTATTTGACGGAAATTGAGTTTCACGCTTCCTCAAGAGAAAATTCATTTCCCATGCAGAAACCCGAAGCCCTTGCTTAATGTAAAAATTCGTTTTGTTTAAGTTTTAGTTTCTCAAGCTGACTAAGCTGAGAAACAGTCGCTACCTTACAAAGTAGAGGCTATATTTAAATAACTATTACATTGTAAGTACTTTTTAAATAAAACGCTGAAATCGAAAGCGCTTACGATGCTTTATCGTTCCGGTCTTCTTGGAAACCCCCGGCGACTTAGGCCAAGTACCGAGTCTACCTGTAGACTAAACAATTTTTGTCGAGGCTTTTTGTCACTGACCAGAGATTAGTCAAGACAGCCCGCGTACTTAGCGTCGCGAGAATTTTATGACGTCAGTTTGCTCAACGACGTCGAACGAGCAGTCCATTTCAGTTTAATTACGCATAAATTACTCTTCTTATCTAACTAATATCTACAAGTGATTTGAATAATATTCCTACCTAATAATAGTTAATGAGTTAAAAATATTTCACACATACATTTATAAACATATATAGATATATATACATATTGATACTATTCATGTTATTAAAAGTGACATAATTTGGGTGTAATTAAAATAATAAATAAACTTCATAACGAGACAAAACCTGTGGTACAATAAATTATTAGTGCCTCTCTGGATAACATCCCGACAACCTGCAGCAGGTTCAATCTTTCCATCATCGGTCGTAGCTGTGTAGGATAAGTTATCAACAAAAAGGTAAGGTGCACATTTATCCCGATATCCAAGGAAAAGTCATTCTGCAAGAAAGGGTCTAAAGGATAGAGTCCTTCTGAACGATCCCTAAATTAAAAATAAAAATTAAAAGATAGAGGAATTCTGTCCTCTATCTGAGATTAACTTACGTCCGCGCCTCCTGGGCCAAGTTCACACCGAGCGCTTCCAACGTATCTCATAAACTTTAAACACTGCAAAAGGATAAATTTCAATCTTAATTTTTCGCGCCTTTTTATTTAAATAAATTTTTATAAAAAGTCGGACGTAACAGTTAATTTTTTTGGTGGCAGCAGTGGGATTTAGAAGATCCACTTTTCTTTCTTCCCCTCTTGCAGTGACTTTTTCTCTAAGAATCGCACTTTTAGAATTTTGTTTGTAATTAAAAAAGGAAACTTCTCTCGCGCGTGCTTCATTCACTTGAGTTTTTAATGACTAATAGTTACTAAGCAAAATTCCCTCCAAATCGAAATTTTCCGTATAAAAAAGGAGAGAGAACCCCACCATAGAAAATTTAGTTATTAATTTTCATATTATAGAAATTAAAGTTATTGACTTCCTTTCTGATGAATCTAATATACATTGGAAAATTATCAACATTTCTGGATTTGGTGAGTACTATTCTTGCATGAATAATTTAGGTCGTTTAAATAATTAGTTAGTCAAATAACTAAATAAACAGTACATAATAAAATAATTATTTGTTTGAATTACCACTAAGTTTTAGATTAATTAAGTTGATTTCATTTACATTTGGCCCAACAATAGAATCAGATTAAGTTATAATTGAACTATAGTAACTATCGCCCTAACATTACGTAAGCTATACGTATCTATTTGATAATTAAATATACTTTAAGTAATGAATAGTTAATCACAAGTAGTTGTTTAGTCTAAATTAACATTGAAGTCTTCGAGCAATAAAAATTAAATAATTAGTTTAATCAATTGACGTTATTAAATTTATACCAATTCCTAGAGGTCGACGTCCTCACAATCCTAACCGTGTTTATCAGAATTTTCTGGAAGTTTAAAGTTAATAAAATTTTCTTTTTTCTCCTTTCTATTTTCAAACCAGTAATCAGTTTATTCACTCAATAAGCAATTAAAGAAATTAAGGTATTGTATCCAGCTATACAATTAATACAACCTACACTCACATATTGACAATAACGTTGTTGTTCCCTGTGTTGTTTGCTTTTCCGGTTTAAGTTATTTTTAAACTCCTAAAGTTTCGGAAAAAAAAACTTTATAATTTCTCTCAGATAGCTAATTTCGAGTCACTAAGTAAAGTCAACTTAAAATAGGAATTACTTAATGTAATATTTTAACTCATCGCTAATTGAGTCTATTTGAACTGCGCTATTCGAAAATACTGGTATCACCCAAACTTCCTATCACTGATAAAGCCTGTTGTTCCCCTTTTCAATACTTATAGATTGGTTAAATTACAAAATTCACCTAACAATAAATCAAAATTGTAAAGTAAGAATTATATGCCCTTCAAATTCGCGGTGACATTTCGTCTGAGTTCATATAATCGGTCATTACTTAGTTTAACCGTTATTATTATTACGCTAACTTGTAACATTATCCCTTACTATTATTGATTTAACCTCACATTGTGGCTTCTAACTAGTACTAATTACTATTAATAAACCACTTATCTCGGATATTTCTTACTTCTAACCTAGACGCTTAGAAAATCAATTTATTCTAAATTAATTTAATATCATTTAGACCCTAAAACCAACCAGTTCTCATTATTAACTCCCAAGGTTTAAATAACGATAATCATTATTTTTAAAGAGCCCACAAGGGTATTTCCACAATTATAAAACTGTGCCAACGTAGGCGAGAGTCGTGCGCTTCGGTAAAGAGGGAGGGCATCACATCCCAAAACCTCGCAGGCCGATTCAATCCATTGTATTTTCCACCATAAATTTTCTACCGGCGCGAGCCAATACCCTGATATTTTATTTAAGTATTAAGATTGAATTGCAAGGAAACAAGAACGTCGAGTATTGAATACATTGAGGAAAGTTTCTTTTCTGCACTAGGCTAAGTTTAGTTTAGTGATTAAAATTTCTGGGTTAAATTATTCTGCTTACATATTGTTAAGTTTATACCTATTTGTTTTCTTTTCCATCTTATGAGCTTATTATTGTTTTTTTGTTTTGTGTCATTCTTAATTT